CCATGGTTTCAAAGTGACAGTTTTAACCTATAAAGCCCTAAACGGCCTGGGTCGAAGCTATCTCAAAGACCATGTTTCCCACTATGAGCCAGGTCAGGTGTTATGGTCCCACCACCTTCACAGGTGTATCTGATGGGGACATAGGAGAACGCCTTCTCTGTTGCTGTTGCTCCCAGACTTTCGAATTCCCTCACACAGAAGGCCAGACTGGACCTACCTTTGCTGTCCTTCCGCAAGCAGGCAAAGACCTTCTCTCTCAGTGACTGGCTACATGAGTGACTTTTAGATGGAGTGTTATGCATTACTGCTCTGACTGAGTCTTTGGTACTACTTGTGTTTACCATGTCTCAGAATGGTATTTGTTTGTTCCATTTTAGTATTTGCATACTTATTGTTTTAACTTTAATGTTGTCTTTTAACTCTGTAAATTGCCTCGTTATACTCATTGTTTTCAGCTTTAAATATTGTCTTTCAAGGATGTAAGCTGCCTTCTGTCCCTTATTAGGAGAAAGGTGGGGTAAAAATATTTACAATAACAACGACATCTCACTAATCCCATTTCAATAATTTTAAATAAAACTGGATTGGGCTATCATATTTTAGAACAAGCAGGAAAAATCAATCATCTGTTATACACAGATGACCTAAAACTATATGCAAAAAAATTCCACAGAGATAAAATCACTGCTAAACACAGTGCAAATATGTAGTGAAGATATTCAAATGAAATTAGGTATTGATGAATGTGCAGCTCTGTCTAAACACCATGGCAAGATCAAAAAAACTAGATGGAATGGAGTTTTAAAAATGGCAATATTATGAAATCACTATAAAATGATGAAAATCATAAATACCTTGGAATAATAGAAGCAGGCAACATCCTGCACACAAAAGGGAATATATCAAAAGACTGCAGAAAATCTTAATATCAAAATTAAATGGTGGAAATACAATCAAAGCCATAAACACATGGGCAGTTCCAGTAATTAGATATCCAGCTGGAATTGGACCCAAAACGAATTAGAAGAATTGGATTAAAAAAACATGGAAAGTAATGAATATGCATCATGCATTACATCCAAAAAGTGATGTGGACAGATTATATTTACCACAAAAAAATTTGAGGCCGTGGATTACTGCAAATACAGCAGGTAGTAGAGGAGGAAAAAAGAAGCGTAAATGATTATATCAGTACAAGCAGAGAAAAATTACTGAAGGCAGTGAAATGGAAAATATTTTGAAAACAATAGAAATGAACGAGAATTTGAAAATAAATTAAAGTTAGAAAAATAAACCACTACATGGACAACACCTGAGAAATACTGATGGAAAGCATGATAATAATTCAACATGGGCATGACTAAAACTGGGGTCCATTAAGAAAGAAACTGAAGGCTTGATTTTTGCTGAACAAGAACAAGCACTCCAAACCAATATGATGAAAGTTAAGGTTCAAGGAAATAGTGCTAACAACAAATGTTGACTCTGCGAAGAAAAAAATGAGACTGTATCACACCTCATCTGTGAATGTCCAAAGACTGTACAGATTACAAAATCAGACATGATAGAGTGGCAAAATTAGTGCACTAGTTATTATGCAAAAAAACCCACAAACAAACAAACAAACAAAAACACTTGCCAACTTCCAAAAGCCCGTGGGAATATCAAGTAGAGAAGGTGTCAGAAAATAAGGAAGTCAAGATCTTGTGAAATTTCTGGATTCAAACTGATAGACCCCTTGAACACCAGACATAGTAGTAATAGTATGAAGAAACGTCTGGATCCTTGACATTGCAATTCCAGGGGATGCCAGAGCTAAAAATAAAGAAATGGAAAAACTAACAAAGTGCAGAGACCTGGCAGTTGAAACATCTTGCTTGTGGATAAAACACATTTCAGGGGTCCCCATAGTCACTGGGACTTTGGGAACAATACCAAGAAATTTCACACGGTACTATAAGCAGTTTCAGATCTCAGCAATAACACCATCAGAGGAAAAAACAAAAACCAGCCATATTAACAGTATAGGTACTATAAGCAGTTTCAGATCTCAGTAATAACACCATCAGAGGAAAAAACGAAAAACAAAAACCAGCCATATTAACAGTATACATACTGCGCTGATGTTTAACAGATACTGTACTTAGGTTTTTGGTTAAAACTTGTATCCCTTATATAATACCAGTCAATGCTTTGATAATTTTGACAGTGCCTGGAGTTTTTGAATAATAATAATAATAATAATAGTGTTTTTTTTCTGTGATTCATGGTCACCCAATGAAATTGACTGGAACCATCTTCAGAACTGACAACATAAAATTGCTTGGGTTGGAATCCTATGTCAATGGTCTCATGTCCCACTAGATTCAGTAGGATTTACTGAATTCAATAGGACCCAATAAACCACACAGTAAGCATGCATAGTACTGCACAGGTAGATTAGTAAATAGCTAGATTTCCTCTTGGCCCTTTCAGTGAAGGCTTGTGGGTAAAGTACGGGGATTAATCTGGAATTAGTGATTGGATAGAGTGGAGAGCAGTTGGTCATGGTCACCTAAGGGCTGGTAGTTATTCTGCCTTCATTAAAGCATAACCATGGGTGTGTGATTTTAGAAGGAACAAACGTAATTTATATAGACAATTCATGTCTTTCACACTACACCAGTGTGGAGAAAGGTGAAAGAAAGGGGCTTACGTTTATGGAGAGACTTCACTGTTTATGTAAAGTCTGCCTGTTAAAATGACACTAGACTAGAGGGCTACTGGGCTCAACAGATTCATAATCTAGCTTAAGGGTTGACTATTTTGGAAGCCAAATTTTCAGTTAGTCAGACAGACACGCACAAAAACTATATTGCAGGCTGCACAGGGCCCATAAATGGCCTCCCACCCCCCAAAGAACACAAAACCAGAAATGCCTGGATGGATACTTCCCCTTTGGATGCACATTCTTTTTTTTAAAAGGTGAGCCAGGAGAAGCAAGCAGTCTGTGTGTTGCACTTTGTCCATCCCTCATCTAATTCACTATTAGGAAGCTTAATGTACAATATAACACAAAGATACATGAACTCCCTCAAAGTCTGGATCCAGCAAGGCCCTTAATCCCTAACAAAGACACTTTCACATGTCTTGTATAATTTGTGAAGATAAGCCTCATTTGCAATAGAGAATCATAGCAACCTGAGTTGGAAGGGGCCTATAAGGCCATTGAGTCAACCCCCTTCTCAATGCAGGAATCCAAATCAAAGTAGATCTTACAGATGGTTGTCCAATTTTCTCTTGAATGCCTTCACTGTCAAGAGCACTCACCACCTCCTAAGGTAAGTGGTTCCATTGTCGTACTGCTCTAACAGGTTTTTCCCTGATATTCTGCCCAAGTCTGGTTCCTATAACTTGAGCCTATTACAAATTCTGTACTCTGAGGTGACTGAGAACAGATCCTGCCCCTTGGTATGACTACCTTTCAAGTATTTGAAAAGTGACATAATATCTGCCCTCTGTCTTCTTTTCTCAAGGTGAAACATGCCCAGTTCTTCCCAGTCTTTCCTCACAGGGCTTGGTTTCCAGTCCCCTGATCATCCTTGTTGCCCTCCTCTGGACTTGCTCCAGTTTGGCATCCTTCGCAAAGTGTGGTGCCCAGAACAGGACAAAAGTCAAGATGAGGCCTAACCAGTGATGAATAAAGGGGGACTAGTAGTTCATGGGATTTAGACATTATACTTCTGTTAATGCAGCTTAAAGTAGCACTGGGATTTTTGCAGCCTTTTGCATCTACTCACATGCTTGAAAAGCACATCAATTGTAGGGCACGGTTGCTTTCTCAGATATGTTCAGGTGGGTGGTGTGAGGTATTATGGCAGTATATAAGACTCCATCACTCTAAATTAATCTTGTAGTCATCCTGGCAATGGCAATAATTAATTTTGGATTAATATGGATGAAATATGTACTGTCCTTGATGGATGTGGGAGGCAACAGCACAGTCCATCCTGGTCTTAGTTAAAAGGATCATTAAAACCAACCTGCCTTATAATCATTAGACTAGCCCCTTTACACTGAAGATCCAGTTTTGCTGTGTGAAATGTCATGCATAAATTGGGTCAACTGCTGCTTTAACAACCCTGCCCTTTTCTCCTCGTTACTTTCCCTATATTTCGAGGCGTTACTTTCTGCAGAGGCTCTTGGTCACCCTCATTCGGGCCTCATTCCATGCTGGTTTCAGCTGCTGGCAAATTAAAACAAATACAAACAAACAAACAAAATCAAATTCTGCATCATGAAAAGCTGTGTTCCTGATGTGCACATTATTCATGGAAAAATGGATTTTATTCATAGAAAAAATAAAGTTTAGCTTTACTAGTCAATGTAAGATGAAAACGACTCTCTATGAGGTATTGAAGCTCCTCTTTCAACCATTTGGTTGACCATTTGGAAAACCCACACAAGGACAGCTCTGGCGTACGAGGTTTCAGAAGTCATGGCCAACACTGCCATTCTGGTTCATTTCCACCATCAGAAGAGTAAGACAGGTTGGAATCCTGTTGGTGTAAGTTATGCTGCAGTTGTAGCCATGCTATGGCTGTCTGGGAAAATTAAAACCTGAGGCAGCCTTTGGAGGCTGTGGAAAGGGAATGACTTAAAAAATGGGAAATCGTTCCTACTGTTTCTGGCAGTGGGACTAGGGCAGTGATTCCCTGGCTTTACATCATTCCCTTCCCCTTCTATGCCTCTCAAAGACTGTCCCAGGATGAAGATCCCTGGGGCCTGGTGGTGGCAGGAATGGGAAGCTTTCAACTTCCCAAGCCAGCCAAGGCTGATGAGTTCACTGGAGATGCAGCATAACTTGCATCGACAGGATTCCAGCCTTTATTTTTAAAAGAGGAAAACTGGGATTTTGTGGTATCTGTTTTCCATCCAACATTGTGTAATTTTCTTTTTCTTTTTTGCACAGCACATACACAGCTTTGGTGATAGGTCATGCCTCTTCTCCTCTTTTGCAGGCGTTTTGGAACAAAATGCACAGCATGCCAGCAGGGAATCCCACCCACTCAGGTGGTCAGGAAAGCCCAGGACTTTGTTTATCACCTGCACTGCTTTGCCTGCATTATTTGTAATCGCCAACTGGCCACAGGTGATGAGTTCTACCTCATGGAAGATGGGCGCCTGGTATGCAAGGAGGACTATGAGACAGCTAAGCAGAACGGTAGGGGCTGAGCAAATGTACCGGCCTCAGTAAAGTTGTGGGGTGAAAAGAGTAGAACTCAATGATTCTGCTATATTCTTTTAGGCCCAGGATTGTGAATTCAGAGATATATAGCCCTTTAATTATGGCATCCAAGATTTGCTTCTGGAGAGCTAGAGAACAGAGTTGGGAGATTGTTCATTCTCTTTTTATTTCAGACTATCAGCGTGATGACAGATGACTAGAATCAAAGATTAGTTGAGTTGGAAGGGGCCAATACTCAATGCAAGACTCCAAATCAAACCAGATTTGACAGATGGTTATGCAATTTTCTCTTGAATGCCTCCAAGACTAAAATAAGTATGAAACAGTGAATCAGAACTGTTGCTCTTATTCATAGGACTGTTAATGAGTTCCATACCTGTAGGGATAGTTGGTTCTATGAATGGCCAGTTGACCGATTCAACAAGTAAAGGTGGAAGTCATGCTGTCCTTCTAGTACACCCTTTATGGGTCTGGAGGTGGCTAGCTTGAGCTAGGGAATGGAGTCATTCAACACTATAGAGACAGACCAGAGTGCTATTTTCAGACTGTGAGTCCTCCTGCCATGTTTCAGGAACACACTCCATCTATAGTATTGTGTTACTTAGTACAACATCTCTGTTGTAGCCTGGCTACTCCATTGCTTCAGCTGTGTTACCTTCAGCTCAAAACCTGTTCAACACTTCAATTCCAGCCTTCTTTTCTTGGGGACACTTTGGGAAGGGGGGAAACAAACAGTTAATGAACAAGTGCCAAGGGCATTGCTGCATAGCAGCAATTAAGCCAGAAAGCCAGCAGTTACACTCTTGTCATAGAATTTCTGACTCTGAAGGATGTATCTTTCCAGCTAGCATTCCTGAGCCTCTATTAGTGGACCTACCTCTTTCCTTTTCATCAGATCCCCTTTATGAATCCTACTCTGACCCTGAATCTTCCTTGTTGTTCTGTCTTTTAAGTTGAACTGCAGTCCATGATTTCCACATAATAGTTGCTGGTGACAGTTGGGAATGGTAGAGCAGTGGCAAGCCTAGGGGTAAATTATTACTTAGAGGCATTAGTCTTCGCAAATGTATGTCTCATCTCACATCCACACACACAGAGTTGTTAACTTATAAGTCAACACACATCTTTGTAAAATGGTTATCATTCACAAAAGACACGGATTCAGGGAACTGGGCAAATGCATCCAGTGCTAGTTCTTTTCATTAGCCCCGAACAAGGGTACAATTCTGTGCTGCCATCTTAGGCTGAAATTCTGATTGTCATTTGCTTTCACTGCTCCCCCAGAGCTTATTTATTTATTTTGCGTATCATGCATCCAACCACTGCCTCCCCCCCCCCTTCTTCAGCAAAATGGGTGCATACCAAGATGCTTATAAATAAGGAGGAGATGAATGCTGGAGATTTCAGTGCACAGAATTTCCTGCAAGCACTTGGGCCAAATGGTTGACTTGTATTCTTCCTGAATGCATCTCAGGACAGCCTGCCTTCTTATCAGACTGGTAATGAGCCAGAGGGATACTTCCCATCTTTCTTCAGTTTACTATCAGGAGTTAAAAACAACCCAAGGCTCATCTCTACTGGAAGTAACAGAGTTGCATCTCACACATCAGCTAAATCTGGCCTTTAACCCTGAGAGTCTCCCATCTTTCATCCTGAGGTCTAAAATGTCAATATTTACTGTAGGTGAAAAATCCAGAATTGGGGGGTGGGCTGGGAAAGTGAGACAGAAAGAGGCTATAGATCACCAATTGCTAATGAATCCACAGAGACTGCCAAACAGTGCCTGACTGAAATTAAAACTGAACTGGTCTTTAATGGATTTCATGTTGACAAGCCCTGACTTCTCATTAATTAAGGACTCTATTTTGACCTAATCAATTTGGCTAGGGTGATGCAATGCCTGTTTGTGCTAAAGGGGTTGGTGGGGGGAGGCAGTGCCAGGAGATCATGGATTGAATACTGTTCAATTTCTATTATTGACTCAGCACTATTGATGGCTTCAGTGTTACAAAATTTTGCAGCCCATGGGGTTACCAAGAAAGAGGGGGGGGCAGGCCAAAGGACACTGTGAACTGTCTGCACAGGGCAGGGGAAATCCTCTGCAAGAAGACATTGTCTAAGAAGTCACATAGGCTGCCGCAGAGGTGCTGGTGGGGGTGGGGGACTTGAAGTTATAGCTTCAGAAGTTGTGCTTCTTTGTATCAGGCTTTTTTTGGTGGCCAGGGGAGATGCATAACCACTATGACTAATAGGCCTTAGAGTAAAACAGCCGTTACAGGGATTGCTAAGACTGCTACCCACTGTCAGGGGTCGAAAAGAAAAAGGTTATTAGAATGTTGACTGCAGTGCGCTCCCCCCCACCAGAAGTACACTAACAATTGGCCAGTAGTTATTGGAACTTTTTTCTTTACAAGACAATGCAAAGTTCTTCAAACAAGAATGCTTTGCTTTTGCAAGCTGTGCAATGAAACAATGTCAAAGCCAGCTGAATATTACTGCTAAGTATCTTCAGGGTCTGATTAAGGTCATGACCAGCTCTGGGGCACACAAGCTACAGGGGCTCCTCTACTCTAGCTTCAGCACCAAACTCATATACAATATCTATGTGCACATGTACAAATACTCATGCATACATATACATGTGTACAGAATCAAAGAAAGCTAATTTCTATTCAACAATGCCAATTTTCTCTTTTGAAATTGCATGTCTTTCTAGAAAAAGGTATTCTCCTTTTTTGGAATCAAAGACTAATGTCTCATTCACAAGAGAGAACTCAAACACCAGCTCCTATTTTTCATTCCCCTTTACAGACAAAGTACAAACTCCCGTATAAACAGCCCCACAAGATCATGTCTGATCTAGCCATGCAATCAAATCTTGCCACGTGACGAAACTGCAGTTTGAAGGACAAATGGTTACAGATTGCAGACTAACCATATTTGCCTCAGTTAGCCAGTGCGTCTGTCAAATGCAATTCTCTCCATATTTCTTTACTGGTTGAAAGTTAATAGGAACAATCCCAAGTTTCATTTGTTTTGAAAAGGCACTGGAGAGTACAACTTTCAGATAGGAAAGCTAAACAGTGATCCACAGAATTGTATGGATTCCCCACTATGAATTTGTGGGGTTCATTGTACCATTCAGCCATCAAAATGATAGAAACTAGAAATAAATATACATACTGACATGCTAAAGACAAATCATTGGCCTGAACACTATTGTTGACATATATTTGCATAAGGAAAATCTTTGCAGCAGATTGCCACTTATTAATGAGATGATGCTTGCATTTTTGGGTATGTGCCGAAACACAGGATTGGCACACACACAAGAATGCAACTAGCGCCTTATTAATTAGTGATTTACTGCCAAAACTTGCACAGTTTTTGTTGCACAAGTATAGATTGGCAATAGGACTCTGTTTTACACACAACTCTTATGCAAGCTCATTTCACATTTCACTGACAAAAACATGGGCTGTAACTCAACAGAGAACTCTACTCACAGCTTGCAAATAAGTGCAAATACTAATAGCTTACAAACCTTACGTGATGCTGGTGTTTGCAAACACCTGTTTGTCATATCATAGATTAAGGGTTGAATTTAGAGCTAGTCATACTTAGAGAAGATCCAATGAAATCAACAGGACTTGTAAGTGACTCTTAACTTCAAATCCATTTATTTCAATGGGGCAGCATGCTAATTAGTCATAAGCAATGTAAGTCTCACTGACTGCTGTGGAACTATTTCAAATATGACTAAATTTGCATAGTGTTATGTTTTTAGACACAGCTAAAAAGATGAGACTACTATTAAAATATACAAAACCAGATTAGTTCTACTTTATACTTATTGCTTGCAGCAAAATTACAAGCCTGTACCGGTTTTCTTGTAAGCTTCTGTTTTCTAATCTGTGCTCAAAACTAACAGAAAACAGTTCTGTTACAGATGATTCAGAAGCTGGAGCTAAAAGGCCCCGAACCACCATCACAGCCAAACAGTTGGAAACATTAAAAAATGCCTATAAAAACTCCCCTAAACCAGCCAGGCACGTGCGGGAGCAGCTGTCCTCTGAGACAGGATTGGATATGCGTGTTGTACAGGTGAGCCAAATGGCATAACATTGACAATCATTAACAACAACTGATTGACCAATTTAAGGCACTACTTGCTCTTCCAAAACTGCTGACTGCAAAGTACAGAATATTCAGTAGTTTAAAAGTCCAACAACATCAAGGGAACATAAGCATGAGTGCAAACATAGTTTATGTTAGAAATGGCAAGGATTATTAGACGTGTATGGCTCTTGAAGATGAACTGTGCAATGCTACAAAATGTCTGAGGGTAGATCTCATGGAAAGCAAAATTTACCTCCCTGGCTCAGCTCAGCTCATGCTGGGGTAGAGAGGAATCTGAAGAAGCAGCTCCTTAGTTTATAGGGTGAAAACCCATGAACCTTGTCTATGAATAGGGCTGATAGATGGAGTTATGGACCTCTGATGTAGAAACAGAATGTGTAGATGCAGAAAGTTTTAGGGTTCCTTATACAAATGCTGTAGAAGAGGGAATTTCAGTGAGGCAGCAGAACGGGAAAGGCTGCAAATTCCCTCTTCTATACCGTTGTTTTGGTTTTAATAATAGTGCCTTCTTTTTCATCTAGTATCAATCAGAAAAGCTCCAGAAAGCAACATCAGTTCAAACACTAGCAAAGCCTCTACATTATAAAAACCTGAAAGAACGTGACACGAAGCCCTATTTTGTTAGATATAGCACAATTCTTTACATATAAGTTGAAAGAATCTCCAAGACTTTTCTCATCATGTGTATTCTTTCAAGTTTCCTGTGTCTCCTTTACTATTCCCACATGAAAGAGATTATTAGTAATGACCAGATCAGAGCAAGTTCTTTGAATGTGTAAGCGTTTTCATTTTTCACTGAGCTTTTCTTCAGGAAGCGATGACCTGCTTCTGTTCGAGCTACATGGCATTTTGGGTAACGGTCCACATCATTGATGGATGATTGGTTAGTATGTCGAAGTTCCTTTCAGCTGCTAAAGGGAAGAACTATTCTTCCTGTTTATGAGCTGAGATTGAGTAATATTTCTCTGAGGGTCTCAAACAAACTGTAGTAGAAACAGCACTTAAATGCACGTCTTCTATCAAAATCCTTTTCTACTGATCCATGGTAGCATGATCTGATCTTATGTTTAAAAGTGACCATTGAGCTGCAGCACTGCAAACATTTTCTTTTTCTTTTTCCTCTGGGGTTCCAGGTCTGGTTTCAAAACAGAAGGGCCAAAGAAAAACGCCTGAAGAAAGATGCTGGAAGGCACCGCTGGGGTCAGTTCTACAAGAGTGTAAAGAGGAACCGAGGCGGCAGTAAACATGAAAAAGAGAGTTCCGCGGAGGACTGTGGCGTTAGTGATAGTGAGCTGAGTTTCAGAGGTAGGCAAAAGAGAAGCAAAAATTGAGGAAATTGCTACTAGCACAAGGTTGGGCTACATCTTTTTCTTCACAGGAAAAGGTTTAGTTTGAATTCTGGGTGTGGGATCATACGTTCCTGTCTGGCGTTGTCTTTGACCAGAGGCAGAGAAATCTGTTTTCTCCCAAAAGCCACAGTTCCTTCGGGAAAGCAATATCACCAATGACAAAAATAACAGCCCCTCTTTTTGCTTGCCACCTCTCTCTCTCCTGTCCCCTTCCTCCATTTTCTTTCCCTTTAGAGTACAATGCTGAAAGAGGGGAAAAACACTGCAGTTTAGAGTCTGAAGTAATCTTTTGTAAGGGCTCCTCCAATAAGATCAAACTATGTTCACACCATCCCTCTAGTGCATAGGCAACTAAATTAGTGGCCTATTGTCATGAGTGCAGGATTCTACATGCCCCAGTGTTGCTATCTCCTGACCAGAGGAAGCTATTTTTCACAGCTTTCCACAGAAATTGTTTCTATCCAAAATGTTTTGGTGGCTTTAGCATGCTCTCCCTTCTCTGGAATATCAATGCTTAGGAATTAATGAGAACTATCTGGAAACCTAACTAACAATCTGATCATAAGCCAAAATACCGTAAATGGGATTTGTTCCAGTCCAAAGCAATGTCTATTAAGCAGCCAAGTCCTGTATATACAAAACCTTTTTCTTACTGTCAAAATTCTGTCAATCAGCAGCGTGGAACAGAGACTAAATCAAGGTTAAATATTTCCATCCAAAAATATGCTTTTTTGGAAAGGGCTCTGTCCACATAGTCCTAATTATTGGATCACTGAGGGAAACTGTACATGTAGCCTATTTTATGAATGCAGTAATCTACTTTTGTGTTTATTGATCTCCAAGCTGCAGTCAGAGAAAATGGTGTTCAAGGCTGCAGTATTAACTGCTTTGCCCAAAGCAGGCTCCATAAATTTATTTAGAAAAATAAACTAATAATAAAAAGTACAAGTACTAAGCATGGGAAAAAGCAGAATCAGATTAAGATAAGGCTACAGTTGCACAGCATGTTATATGTGAGTCAGGTAGGTGGGGCTTACTTCTGAGTACACATTTATAGGGAAAGAAGTGTGAATGAATAAAAAGGTTTTTACCTTGCAGTATGTAGCCTGAGACAAACATGTTTGCCTTTCTGAAAGGCAGATCCAATTTCATCAGCTCTTTGAAAACATGAACTATACAATTATTTCTCTTTTTTTGGTCATGTATGTTTATGGTTCTTATCCTGTAGTGATCTCATATGTGTGTGTGTTTGTGTGTATGAGAAGAATATATATGAAGAATAAAAAAATCTGACTGGCAATGGACCACCTGCAATAAACTTGACTGCCTTTAAAAAGAGGTGTGTTTTGCTTCAGATACAAATTTGCACATAGGAGGACCCATTTAAACAGTGAGATCACAAAGTATATAGATTTTGGGGCAGTGGCTGAAAACAATATATGAAAACTCTTTGTTTAAAAAAATCAGCAATACTGTCTAGTGCAGTGATGGCTGAAAACAATATATGAAAAATCTTTGTTTAAAAAAATCAGCAATACTATCTAGTGAACTGGAGATATATGCACTTTAAAATCTCACTGATGTCAATAGGAGGCAGTTCAGCCTTGTTTAACTCTTTTATTGAAACAATTGGATTTAAGCACTTTAAATGTGGGACCTGGGTGATAGATATCTGCTAAACTTGTAAGCAACCAGAAATAGCTTAATAAGGCATCAGTTAAAATAATAATTTGATCTGAAAAAGTAAGAATCATTCAAAATATAGTAAAGAAGCTTCAATATTGAATCTTTTGCATATATTTGCAATAGTAACACTAATTTTGGCATACATGTTAAGCTAGGAATTTTTATAGATGCTGTAATCTAAACATTCATGAAACTGTTTAAATTACACATTCTTTAAAACATTTTAGACGGAAAGATCATCTTCAGAGGTCCGGTCAACCTCTTCCAAAATTAGGCAATACAGACATTACAAAGCACCTCAGTTTTCAGGTTGCCTGTTCAAATCACTTCACATAATTGGTAAATAGAAGGAAAGCAGTAGAAGCAGTAGTAATAGTAATAGCAATAACAACAACAACAATGATGATGATGTAATATAAGTTTGTGACCTGATCTATTTGTACTCATGATGGGTGCCTAATCTTTGTTACAACTTAAACTATAAGCCAGCAAAAGTATATGTGTATAATTCCCTGGTCGCAGTAGGGTGGGAAGCCTTTGCCCATTTATGTATTGTTGGATTTCAGTTCCCACTAACCCCACCAGTCTGGTGTGTGATTATAGGAGTTGTAGCCTAGCATCACCTGGTGGGCCGCAGCTTCCACATCCTTGACTTATAGGCACTTAAATTATTGCCTTAGATTTAGCTGCCCTGGATATTTAACTACCCTTCTACCTGCCACATATATTAATTGGCCCTTGCTACTGCTGAACCTAAAATCTTGTTTTCCTTGCTTTCTTTACAGAAGACCAAATCCTCTCAGAGCTTGGCCACAACAGAATTTACAGCAGTGCTGGCGAGGTGGCTGGTGGACAGTTAATGAACAGTACTTTCTCCATGGACGGGACAGGACAATCCTATCAGGACTTGAGGGATGGAAGCCCTTATGGAATCCCCCAGTCTCCAGCCTCCATATCATCTCTTCCATCGCACACCCCACTGCTAAATGGTCTGGATTACACAATGGACAATAATTTAGGAATAATAGCACATGGAGGGCAGGGGGTAAGCCAGACACTCAGAGCTATGGCTGGTGGCCCAACCTCTGATATTTCTACTGGAAGCAGTGTTGGTTATCCAGACTTTCCAACAAGCCCTGCCTCTTGGCTTGATGAAATGGATCATCCTCCTTTTTAAAGAATCATACTAATTGCCCTATTCCCACTTGCTTCTTTGGCCTGAAACCATTCTAAAAACCCAATGAGAGACAGCAGTCAAACTTCAAGGACCACAGATGTGCCATCCCATAAAAGTTTCCATTATTTTAGAATGGGAATACATTATTTGTTTCCTGTAGAGCTAAAAGAAACTATGGTGTGTGTGTGTATGTGTGTATATATACACACACACATATATATTTGCGTTCTTTTTGAAGAAGTGGGACAATAGGTAAAGCTGCTTTTGAATACAGCACATTGGTGTGTAAAGCATTTGTATGACTTTGGGTTGGGGTAGGGTGGGCAACCAGCAGTAGCAAACACAAATCCACTGACTCCATAGACTTTTACTGTTAAATGCGACACTAGCACATACTGAAATGATTAGACACATCTTTTGGCCTTTGGTGACTCCACATCAGTGTCCATGCAGCATGAACATTGTTTTTTGTTTGCTCATTTGTAGAGAACTAAAGTATGGAAATACACTATTTCTAAACTCATGCCTCCTAAGACTGACTACTAAAGAGACAGAATGCCAGTGGGATTTTGCTTTTTCATTCCTACTTTTCCATACGTTGCAGCTCTGTATTTAGGTTGGATATTTCATGAAGAAGTGGCATATCTTTGCCTTACTTGAAAGTAACAGTAAGCAGCTAGATGTGCTAGTGTTCCTTATTTAGCCTTTGAACATCTGCAGCCTTTGAGCATCTATCTTCTCTTAATATCATAATGGAGTTGTTGCTTCCCAACTTAACTGCTATCCTAACTTCCTAGGATGCAGTAGCCACAGCAGGGCAGACAGAGTTGTATCCCACTAGATTCCAGCCCTGTCAGAGTTACCAACCACAGTAAAGTCAGTTTTTGATCTGGAGGATAAGTCAGTATGATTATAACTAATTGGATAATCTGCTATATGGTGTGGTGGACAAGATGAAAAATGAAACATGCACAAGTGACAGAACCCTCACCATGATCTTCTTGGTAAATGGGGGCATAGCAAAACCACAATTCTCTTTATTTTGGATTGAACATTGTAATAACCAGTAAGCCCAGCAACAGCAGGCCCAATTTCATCAGGATACTTCATTCTCCTTTCATGGGAAGTGCAAACAAAACAAAACACCCAATAAACTTTTTCAAGTTATTGAGCTTGCAGTAATTCCCATCAGCCGTGAAGAGATACACTGGGGGGCAGGGAGGGTGTTTTGAGGCATTCAACCCCCCTCCAATGATGCTAGCTTTTGACTCAGATGAGCTACTAGGCTATGGTCTGCATACAGGTCAAGCACAAGGCATATTGTTTCTGCTAAGAAAGGAAAGAATGTATTAGTTTTTATGAAATGGACTTCTTGGGCAATGCCAATAACTGTGTATGAAGTACTGTGTGGCAGACTTCTGCGCTGCCTTGCTATTTCAGCCCATCGTACAATAGGGCACTACAGCCAGTTATAATGTCATCATTACTATGCTGCTGCACAAGACTTTCCTAGCAACCTATGTGTTTCCTCCTACCAGCTTCTGAGAGAGAAATGCAACAATAATCTGATGAACCATTTTTAGGAGATTAAAAATTGTTTAAAGGTCATTCACCAATGAAATCTTTATGGGCTAGGTACAAATATAGAAGACATGGAAGGAAAAGGATCATGACAATCATGTGAAGCAAAACATTAGCTAGAATGTCAAGGGCTTTCACAGCTCTTAGATCAGGAACATTAAAGTTTTTACTGAGGCAGCTATGTGAACAGCATTAGATTTTTTGTTTGAGAGTCACCAACACTCTGAGTCTCTGACGCCTAGACCTTGTCCTTAGGGACATTGTCCTTGAAGCTGATATACAATGCTGCTTCTTGAGAATCACAGAAGGATTCAGTCTCAATGCAAAGGCAGGGAATATCAGTCCTGAAGTACATGCATCAGCCACCCTCAGAAATAGGAAAATAGGATTGACCTGAGCCTTGTTCTCACTGCTTAAGGAGGCTCCATTCTCTGTCTGTCTCTCTCTAGTCCTTACAAAAGCAAAATTACCAAACTAACAATACTACTTTCAATATATCTGTGAAAAGTGTCTCCATGGATTAAACATCAGACAAACCACTGTCTGTAGAAGGGAATATGGCCCCTCAGTCTATTCTACTGGTGGAAGCATTTCCATCAGCAGATGTCCTCTGTTGAGTTCAGGCCAATTATTATTATTATTATTATT